GAGAAGTCAATAGTAACCAGAGGCCTTGATGGAAACCTGACTTATCCAATGTCTTTTGTGGCCACCAATGTCTTTTGCATAAGATGAAAGTTCCATTTAAATTTAATTATTTATTTAAACTCAGTGGGCTGGAACACATTACTGTCTTGAGAAATGACCACCAGCAAACATGAGGCTGAAAGTTTTACAGTTGGTTAAAAATTAATCCAGCCTGCAGATTGGAGTTTATAGTTTAAAAATTAGTGACTCAAGCTTTGGGTTATTGATAGATTCTGTTATTCATGGTTTCATGCGTTAAATTTTGGTTTTATTTGAGCTAGTTTTAGCTATTTCACTTCATTTTTAAAAGCTGTTATCGCTTAGACTGCATTTATTTTTGTTATCGTTTGAACTAGATTTATTTAAATTTAGAGGTTTCTGAAAATTAAAACTGGTGCAAGCGGTGTATCCGTTTTTCAATATTTAATATGTGCTTTTAACTTTATTCTCTAATAATACATTGAATGGAAATATTGGTAATCGACTATATACTAGTGAGATAAGCGAAGGGCATGCTTTTGATGTTAAATTAAAAATAGTGAAGTTATTATATTTCTCATTACAAGAATTTCATATCGCCCAAATACTATTTTAAAATGAAAGTTTTGGTTTGAATACTTTTCAGTATTATTGAGTACTGAAAAGTGTGATACTAGTTAAGTCTTCAGTTTCATTTTTATCGTTATGTAAGTACATGTCTACTTTAAATAACAACAGAAGGACTGTGAGTGCTTGTAGCAACTTATGAATATAATTGCAAAATAAGAGCATACTGGCAATACAAACAAAAGTGAATTTGTAAATTTATGTCCTCTAAATGTCTTCATTGTTCGACGCAATGCAGGAAGGCTTCCATGACCTGCCTTAACATAATCTGTGAACAGCATCGTCTACGTTACGGCTAATGGCAGTCGTCAGTTATTCAACCATTAGCAAATGATGTTCGAAAATGTTTTGGTCAGGTAACTCAGAAGACGTACACCGCAAGGGTAAAACCTGGAAAGCGGGTAAGCCTAATAAAGTCGACGCAAAGGAGACTCTGGAGATTTTAAAATATCTATTGAAGCATAGGTACTCTTGTGCTTGCCATTACGGCACCCTCTTAGAATAAAATTTTAGCGGCCGAGGAGGTTAGAATAAATGAAGCAAGCCTCTCTCGTATGTCCCGTGCAATGAAAATAAAGCCATGAAACGTCACAGATTGACGTCACGACTTATCATGACCGCTGCTATCTGCGGACTTCTGGTTGGCTTTGTTTATATCCTAATCGGTATTGTCTTCATCTCAGCTATTCATCGTTGAACGTTTTCAAGTCTTCCGTTCTAATTTTAATACTCAACACGACTGATTTTTTTTTTTTTACTTAACATGTAGAAAAATCACAAGGATTGCAAATAACTGTTTCAATTTTAATAAATCTAGGTGTATGAAAATGTTTAAATATTAATTATGAGACAAATGTATACATGGTAAAACCTAGAATACCAGTGTAAATTTTAATGGTATTATATGCAAATTATATCTAAGGAAACTTTTTTGAACCTGCGGACGTTGAGACAACGTAAAGTCGGTGTAATTTTATTTAGCAAAATGTTTCGCAGTCTCATTCATGCGCTCTGTGGCTGGTATGATAAGTCGTGACCTCACGTTGTTGGCTTCATTTTTACATCATGCTTACTCCATCTATTCTAAGCTCTATTGCAGCAGCCAGCTATCTTGCTCACAATTCTGATAACATTCATTTTTCCCCTGAAATCCTCGCTTACAGCCTATTTGAATGAAGGCTTCCATCAGGGCAATACGTAATTGCTTCCGATCAACAATATGACATACAAATCGCCTGGCTCCTATCTCTTCGTCGGATGTAGGAATGTCACACAAGCGTATATGCACACTGCTTGAGTTGTCAATTCAAATAAGTACAATATACATGGCCTTATATAAGAAAAATATGACAAAGATTGACTCTGGAATGACGCTACTTAAAAACTTTTTGTGAGCATTTTACTATTATTTTAAAAAAGCCGAATTAAAAAGAAGATTTTAGGTGGTAAAATTAAAAGCAAAATTTTATCCTACATATTCCATAACCTACTACATAAATATTGTAAATCCAACATTATTAACATTAACAATTGAAACCAAGTTAAAGGTTAGAATGGCGGGATTAATTTCTGCTGTGTTCAGTAAAATAAATCAAGCATGCGAATTCATAATTCTCTAAATTTTGTTTTTCAAAATTTTTATTGCATTTAGTATTATGTCAATGCTTATGCGGCGCATTAGTTGCCTTTTAATATTTTATACTACTGGCTTGAGGAAGTTCCTCTTACACCTGGATATCATTTACTAGATATAAAACGAGCAATATCTCTCTTCGTTTGCTGAAATATGAATTCCATTTCCAAACAAATATCTATCAAAAAACAAAAACATTAGACTGTAACAGGCTCGGTATTCCCTGAATTTATGAGCTGATATAATATTTCTTCGAATTTGTTCGATGCGCACTCATTCTTTTAAGGAGATGAATTATTACTGGTTTTAGTGCTGTAATAATGCAGTAGATAACGGTTGTTTTCGCTTTAACAGCTTAACTAACAACTTAACAGGTGAAACTATTTCGAAATCCGTGATAGTAAGGCCCAAGATATTTTAAGTGATTAATAATATTGATGGAAATGCTTTTGGAATTTAATGTTTCGTCATCTCGGACATTTCACATATTTAGATTTTTGAATTAAAAACAGTTCTTCTGTCTACTTTTCCGCCGTCTACACTTTCTTTTTTTCCATTTCCAACTGAACTCCAGTTCATGAAAGTTAAATAACACGTTATTAAAAATGTTATGGGCCAAATTTCTATAAGGTGAACCAATTCGATTCTATAACAAAGAAACATTCACCACACAATAAGCTTCTAAGTACAGTTTCTTTAATCCTAGACACAAAATTACTCACTAACTAATTAAGTTAAAACTGCTGTAAGTGAAGAAAGTCAAAAGCAGACAAATTCCAAAGTAATCCAAGTTACAATTAGATTTCTTTTTTATTAAGACCTCATTATTTTACAAAGTATTTGAATCAGAACTTAGCCCAACCTATTGAATATCCCAGTTTCTACTCTAATTAGCTGTCACAATTAAGGAAAGAAAAAAAGACGAAAAAGAGAGAAATACTTCCTGTCATTAACATGATATAAAGCAAAAATTCCTTTTTTTTACCTCATCTGCAATACGCTCACAGCATTTTCTTATTAAATTGTGTTAATGAGAAGTGACACGGTAAGAACAGATTAGATGAGCTTAATTTCTTAATTGCAATCTGCATAATTTATTACTCATTTGAGAATATCATGCTTTTATTTAAAAAATATTTGGAGGTTCTTTTTTATGTTTTCAGAGAAGTCAGATCAATTTAAGATGAGAAAGCATGTTAAAAAAATTGATTGAATAATAGGTTATATTAGCAGGATTACTTCTATATGAAAGCGTGTGTTGTATGGCTCCTTTTATCTGTGATTTATAACTACATCTCACTTCCATTCATGCTTGCAGAAATATTATCAGAAACACTCGGGACAATTAATGACGCTATTATGCAATTTTTTAATATTTATAAGCAGTATGCATGTTATCAAAGCAATGTTCTTTAATTTATTGCATTATTCACTATTAGTTTACTTTTAATACATTTTTCATATATCTGAACGCCTCAGTCATTCATATTCTTTTGCAGTATAACATACATTTATTTAGATTGCGAAAATATAGTATAATAAAGGATACGATTCGAAAATTGCAGTAACCGAAACCGGAATGAGTACTGACCGTAATTCAAACAGCGTAATTTAATAGGTAAAGTAAAATTATATTTCGATAATGTGCAAATTACGAAATACATTGTTGTGAGTGCCAGATAAATGCTATATAATACAGAACGTTTTATTAATATTTAAAGATAACATTGTCTGATGAATATGCCCTGAGATGGTATCTCTTCTATTACTTGATTTATATTAATATCATGATAGAAAAAATAGCTGCCCATAGGCGCTTTCTAATATCCCATTATTATCTTGAGAAATAATTCAAGCAATAACGTAAGGTAAGAAAGAATAATAAAACTGAGTGCCCTAGAAAGACTGCCCTAGAAATTCCTTCAACTAAGGCATTTCTCGCCTTAGACAAGTAGTTGTCATGCAGTGCTTAGGCAAAAAAACCAAATTAAGCCTTTGTAGGATTGCTTAGTTTGTCCCGATGTCATAATATCTTCGGGATTTGTAAACTCCTCACCCCAAAATACTGTACTATTCCTGAGAAACATTGAAAATATCATTCAACCAGTACAAGAATACATAATGTAAATTAAATTTCCAAATCTTGTCTTTTGGCATTCTGCCATACTTTTGCAATCTTAAAATACATATTTTAGTTATATAGGGAAAGAAAACACTTTTGAAACATGTTGCTATTTAAAATGAGACTGCAAAGTCAATTTTTAAAATCAACTTAAAAATAAATATTTGCATAGCATGGGTAAATCCTTTAAAATGTAAATGAAACATGATACAAGAACTTTACTTTCCAGATTCATTGCCTTAAATTTCTGAAGGGGCGCATAATGTCTTTTTTAATAAACAGTTAAAATATCAGTGCTTGGTATTGTTTTCTTTTTCACAGCATCTGCAAGGAATCTGAAAGGAAATGTACTACCCGGAAAAAGTCCTTCACTACTTTCATGAAAAATCTTCTCATAAAGTGCGCCGGCGTTGGGAATTCTCCAGGTGGTTCTCTGAAAGAGAGCAAGAAATAAACCGAACGAAAAACCTAAAAGTCGAAGAAAAATTACTAAGAAAGAGTAAAAAATAGATCTAGAACCCAACACGGAGGAGGGGACCATTTTTTAATCTATGTCAGCCCAACGATTTCTCTTACCCTTCCTTAGTTGCGGCTGATGCAGCCACTTAAAATCAGCAGAAATGGAATCAAATAGTAGGAAATAAGTAGCCAACAGCTGAAGTTAGTTTCTGGAAATGCACCTTTCCATCAAGTGCCCAGACAGAACGAAAATAGTCCACTAGAGATTCTTGGTAAGAATATTTTGGTTGCAGTGCTCCCCGGTTGAATACAAATCAGATTACGTTTTTTGAAAACATTGAGAAAAAATAATACAATGTATTAAAACAAACTTTACATGAAATAATATGCCGTTTGCTAATGGTTGAGTCTACAGATAATCTCACTCTAAAAGATGTATCAATATTTGCTATAATTTAAAAAATAAAATTTTAAAAAGTGCCTACAAAAGACTTTATTAAGCGTATGCTAGTATTAATGTTGAGAATGAGAAGTTTTAGTTTTTAGGCAGAGTAATACAATGCAAAAAATAAAACATAAATAAATTGTGTACGCATAGATATAATCAATTACATAAAAATGATCACTATTATTAAAATTGCAACAAAGACAAAAATTTTATCCTGGGAAGGGAAAAAAATCAAAATTTGCTAAATTTTCGTGTTCTGGTATTTAATAAGAATTTCATGAAAACTTTCAGGATAGAGGATTTACATTACCATTTCGTGAGAGGGAGAAAGTGTATCAGAAACCAAGCAATAATATAAATAACTATTAGGCAATTAAATAAAAAATATTACAAAATTTTTCCGGAACGATCCGTTTATGAACCATTTAAAGTCTGGAAATGTTTCCAGCTGTTTTACTTTAGATCTAATGAAAAACGAATTATCATTTAATTGTACAGTATTTATGCACATTGCATTACACATACATTTTTAGAAGCATGTTTTTAAAAGGATATTCTGTACTGAAATTGTTGCTATCATTGACAGCAGTATAGGCTGACTGTATATAAACCTGAGAAACGGTATTTTCTTATATTTCAAAAGCCCAAAAAAACTTAGGCTTCGAAAAGTTTTGATTTGGAGATTTGGAATAGAATCATTTTGAAATTTTAAGGAAATGCTAACAGAAATTTAAAAATAATATTTAAACTTAAATCAAGCTTAACAATTGTAGATAAAGTAGCTGCGTAGATTTATTCCCCATTCATAGAAAAATATAATTTTTGCGAAATCTAAGACAAATCCCTCAAATTTGCTTAAAAGTAACGTGGAAATTTCCGTCACGATAAAGTTAATCTACTAATTATAACAAGTACTACATTTGATTTCCGTTTGTTGTTATCAGGAGATAAAGAGCATTCTATACCAGGTCGAAGATTATTAAATTACTGCTCACTAGTGTACCGAATTTTCGTGGTCTTTAGCTGAAGTTTTGCTCTTAGTGACATCTATGAACCGAATCAGGTGCGAGAGAACTCGGTGGCTTCAAGTATATAACTTGGGTTCGTTTCATGCGAGGAGGATTTTCTATCACTAGGTGGGGAATGCGCTAGCTGCAAAACTTCCGATTCTTTCAAATTATGCAACCAATGAGTGGCTGCACAGACGCCGCAAAATTAAGAAAAATAGTCTCGATTCAGTGAAAGACTTTTAGCTTTTAAAGAACCTTTTGGTTTATCTCATTGTTAGAAGTCAAATTTGCCGTTACGAAAAGATAGATTTTTGACGATATAAAAATTTCAGGATGATATTTCTTTACTTACGATCAAATGACTAAACTCATCTAGAAAGGTAAATTGTAAATACTTATAATTTCATTTCTTTTGTGATTTTTCAAGAGACATTAGTTAGTTGCAAAGAGAATTCGACGTTTCATGTACATAAAGTTAGGATTATAAAAGAGCATTTAGGTCCTCATAATTTAAAAAATGTTTAATTTTAATTGCATTTATTATCGTAAAATTTTACTGATTATTTTATTTCTTAAAGCTATATTGGAACAATATCATTTGTATTTCTTTTTGTATCCCATCGCAAATCCTCATTTTGATTGTCAAACCAATTATCCTTATGGCAGTAATCTGAAAATGCTAATTTTCAGCAAATGATACCGGTTAGTAAGTTGTAAATGTTGTCATACACAGGCATTGCAAATTTTTATACTTTTTCGTGACGTACCATATTTTATTATTCTAAAACTTTCAGAAAGTTTAGAATTCTGTAATTCTGTCGTCACGGTTTTCTATGATAACTAGTACTTCTTGCAGCAGAGATGTATAATTTTTTTCTCAAATCAAATGAATTACAATTACATTTTTAAAATGCAAAACAATAAAGAAAAGGAAATTAACAAATGTTTAAAATTTATATGAACTTATCTAATATTCCTAAGCTGTAAACCACTAACTTGAATGTAGTGACAATAGCAAACAGTTACCTCATTACCTTACTATACAGTTATTAGAAAACGCTGATAATTAATTATAATTTATTTTTGAAACAGTTAATAATTTTTACTATGCACAATTTGCAAAATATCTGCAAATTTTTCATGCGGTAAAGTTTTACGAAATTAACTCAAATCAATGCAATTTCAAGCACAGGAAACATGTAAACTGCAAAAGAAACTGTTTTTTGTGTTTCTCCACAGCTTATACTTGTTGTTTATTGTTTATGTATTTTATTCTGAAGTTGTTCATTTTATTTCGTTTGCTTAGAATTCCCAATTTCTGAACAAATAGGAGCATACTGTCATTGACGCAATGTGCTTTAATCTGATGGGGGAATGCATTTAAAAAATTCAAGAAGTAAGATAGAAAAAGGAAAGAAAACAAGAAAAAAAGTGGTAAAATGTCTTTTAAAGGATTTATTTCGTTCTATTCTATCCCTACAATTCCTCTCTTTCCCTAGGTAAGAATTTCGTTTAGACTTAAGTTTTAAGGGATATTGGAAGACAAAAATCTTCAAAAAATTGTGGTTTGGGATTATTGCATTTTCAAATTCTCTACGCTTTCATCTTTCTAAAAATACCCTACTTTAATCTGTATAAAAATTAGAAATGTAAAAAAAAATCTGCTGTTAATTTATAATGGAATGTATTAATAAATGAGTATTTTTATGTAAAAATGCCTTTTTCCCCAAATGTGATTTTTTTATATTCGATATACGTTTTCTTAGAACTACTCAGAACTCATAGGTATTTAATTTTTTCGGCTTATTTATTATGTGTCCTAATGTTAATTGAAATGAGATTTTTGTGATAAACTAAGGATTTTTTTTTTTTTTTTTTTTTTTTTTGGTGTGTGTGTGTGTGTGTGTGTGTGAAAAATGCGCTAAATTTTACTAAGCCTAATAACAATATTATATAAAATACTCTAAAAACCCAAATTTTTCAAAAGCTCATTTGAATATAATCGAAAGGTGTACTTTAATTACCCCAAAAATTTCCACGTGTACCTGTAGCGGATTTGCAGAAAAGGCTAATCGAAAATGGTCAATTTAACATGGTCGGTATAAAAGGTTCCGACTCCCCATAAAAACATTTTAAACAAATTCTGCCAATTCACAACAAATGCGTAATAAATAATTAACTTCATTAAATTCTTAATTTCTTATAAAAAAAAGAATTACAACTTATGTAGGATGAAAAAGCTAAGTTTTCAGTTTTGGGAAAATAAAAAAAACTATCAAAGACAATTTATATTATTAAATTGTAAATTTAATATGTGTAAATTTAATAAGTCAGGATGTTATTCTGAAAAATAATTGTATTAGAAATGTTTTTGTGAAAAGGGAAATTGTTCCTTGGGCTAAAACTATGAATATATAATGGCATCTATCACATGATCCTAATGTTTCATAGATGTTTTAAATTTAATATTTTTTAAAATTAATGTCTGGTTAAGAGAGATCTTATTAAAGAAACAAAGTTTCTTCTATTCATGGATGCACCAATTAAGACAAAAGAATTGGTCGTTTCCCATAGTTATTTTAAAGTCCTCACTTAACGCAGAAATGCTCAAATTGTCACTTGAGAAGTTAATTTAGTTTCGGAAATACTCCTACGAGCATTTGTTCGTGATTGACAGCTGGGTAGAAATGTTCCTAAACAATGAATTCGTGGCAAACAGAGCGGTGCCCGATGTGCCCCGCAGCCAAAGCTAGACTGAAAGGAAATTGCTCTTCCATTGGAATTGCTGCTCCGTTATTTACGATTCCGAATCGTGATAGCCATTGGAATGGCTGAGATTTAGTTTGTGACCCTTGTGTAAGAAAGGGTTTCTATATGTGCATTCGTTGTATATATATACTTGAAACGTTCGATCTTAAGTCTGAAACAAGAAATCCTTTCCAAAAGGTGTTCTTGAAAATAAGAAGTTAACATTGAGAAAAGAAGGGTTTCTTACTTCTTAAAATCATTAGCTATTACATCTTTCTTTGCAAAGCAAGCAATACACATTTTTTAAAGAACAAATGTTTATTCAAAATAGTTATGCAAGGGATAAGTCATTAATTTTATATTTTAGTTTATAAACATCATTCATTTTATGTTTTAGGAAGGACACTTTATGAAAGCTATTAGACAGTGCGAGCAACAAGAGATGAAAAATCAAATATGCCTTATACGGGCTTCGAACGACGGATATTCGAGCTGCTAGTTGGGCAACCACTTCTATTGCAAAGTGCACTAGAAATTCCATATAAAGTTGTGATAAAAATATTTAATTTGAAATCGTTATAAAAATAAATGTTTGATTACTTCATGGCAGAAGCTTCAGTAACGGTTGCTGTGGGTTATGTTATCATATGTGTGGACCTGAGAAAATGTTACAGAAATATAAATATGCACCATATAAAAGTTCTTACATACCTTTTGTTGTTGTAATTCTACAAGCTCCTAAATTTTTACCAATTTAAGTAAAAATATATCTTATTGCATAATATGATATTTGCCCAAAATGGTATTGAATGATGACTATTAAGTTATACTGAATTAAACTGCATAACAATTAACTTAAAAATCCATGGAATGACTGGAATGACCATATACTCTGAACAAATATAAGTGTATTTTTAATAATTTATTATAAAAGTAAAATTATTTATTTATTTCAAATTTAGAATGGAAAATGAATAAAAAGCATAAAAACTTTATTGAAAAGATAGACCAGCCCATGCTGAAAGTCATTTTCATGATAATTGTATTAATAACCGTATTTTCACTATTAGAAGATAGAGAAAAAAGAGACTAAAAACAGAGTAATTTCCGCATGTTTCTCTTGTCATCTCAATTATTCTTACAAGGACATTGTATGGCCTTAAAGTTATTACTTATTAATAGCATTTTTCACTTGAATAATAATTGTTGAATAATCTCAAAACTTTACATGTTAATTTTATACCATAAATCTGTGATGCTACTGAAAGAAGACGCAAGCGGACTGGAGTTTCAAAGATTGAAACTGTTGTTATAATAACGATAGATCAGATATCTAGGAAATTTGTGCCAAACAATTGGTAAATATAAAGAGAAAACCTTTTTCCTGAAGAAACAAAACATTTTCCTTTCTAATGAAAGCAAGACGAGGCGGAAAAGCGTATTAATTTCTATTAATTGTGGAGAATAATAACTCACTTTGAGGTTTAAATCATCAAATTTTATAACAGATTGATAAAACGGATATAATCACGATTTCACAACAAAAACGACCTGAAGAACTAAGTCAGAAAAATCATCACATGTATAAACAGAGGTAATAATATTGTTTTGCAGTCTTCAATAGATTCTAGCATTTTAAAGTGAAAATATTTCGTTTTATTACTTCGCTACCTTATTCTATTTCCACATATTTTGCCTATCTATTTATGTAATTGTTTAAATGCCCGAACCCTACTTAATGCAGTCATCGAGAATGGCCAAATTATATCTGAAATTTAGCCATATGATCAAAGAAAACGTTGTTTAAGGTGCACAAATGGGGACGACTGAAATTACACCCACGAGAAAGGGAAACTGCATTTCTGAGTTTTGATTGAGATCTCTCTGGCAAGGCAGACACCAGAGTATCGTACGTTTGTTCTCTTACTATTAGCTCTAGAAAGGACTTTCCGCTCGGGAGTATTTTAAACACCATGCTGCAAAGACACTATATGCTTACAAATATCTATGTCTTTTTTTTTTGACATTCGAACTCGGCCCTACCACCATATCAACATGGTATGTTCTACATATATAAAAGAGCAAAAAATGTAGTAAATAAATTTACTAGCGATAATTTTATGAAACAATGAGAAAAGAAACTTTGAATTTATTAAATCCTGCACGAAAACCTAAATATTATAAAATCCAACAAGATAACTTATACTTGTAAGTGATAGTGAAGTATGAAATGATAGTGAAAGTAAATGTAATTTACCTAGGTGAAATGGATATAATAATATTGCACTTAAAAAGACACGAGTTTGCTAAATTGATTTTATTTGTTTGTATTAGATAAATGATATTTTCCTAAACGGAGTGTAAGACATTTACCTCACATTTCCTGTGTTTCAGTTTTGCTTGATCAAGGACAGATCAGTGATATAACAGAACTTTTAAGCAGCCTTACAAGTGCAAGATATAAATACGAAGATCAAGCAAACGAAGAGACATGGGAATGAAAAATATTCAACGAATCTCTCGGTTTCCTGTAATTTTTCAACACTTCGATAAAAAAAAAATCTGTTTGCATAAATTTGGTCCGCAGTTATAATTCTGTTATACACGTCCTATTAATTTTCAATGTCAATGGGCACAATCAAAATGCTTTTGGATTTGTTACATTTATTTATATTCTTACAAGCAGTTTGTAATACTGTTTACTGCATACTAAGAATAATTTCAGAACTCGCGCTGATAAGATCCTTGGGCGTTTTTCTGTCGCGTGTTAGAAGCCAGTCTAAAAGCAATTGCACATGATTATGATCAGCATTGATTAATATGAGCATTTTGAAATGTAGTACATTCATATTCGTAAGCTTTGATTATTCCTTTTCATAATCACTATTACTTATTATTGTATTAACAAACGTTAGCATATTCCAAGTTCTTTTGTAAGTAAAGCTTTTTAATTAGGAATAAAAGTATTACTGATATCCGGTTTCAGAATATGTGGTCTTGGATAAATACCGATAATTCGTTAATGCTTTTAAAATAAAACTCTACCTAGATACATGGTACATGAACTTATTTTCCGTTCACGCAATGTTTTGCACTTACAGGCCGTATGTTATACATTATTCTCACAATCACACATCATAAGTAAGGTTACCGTCATTTAGCTGTATTTTTAACCGTTAGTTACTCAAGGACTAATCAGCAAATCAAAATCTTTTCTTTGCATATAAAATGGGTAATTTAATTGGTGGTTGAAAACATGGAAGTGGCTGATTAGTTACTATTCACTTAAATATGTATATAATCCGTGTATTATTTTATTTTGAAGCATTTTCAGTGTTTTATAAAATATATATAGGCTATGCGTAATATTTACTTCAGATCATTTCGTAGATCACACAATATCCTTAGAGCCTTATGAAACAAATTTTACATACATTGGTAAACGCAGAAGAAAAATTTAGTTCATTGTTAAACGGATCATGCGAGCAATGAAAATGAACATGCAATTCTTAATACATCTGCGTGGCTTCAATATTTGTTACGTGCTATTGTGCCTATGAAAAAGTATTTTGTGATATTGCTTCTGTGACAAGGTATCCATGATGGACAAGGTGAAAAATTGAACGACTAGCAATATTTGATATCCAGGTTTTAAAGCTGTCTTTGGAATAACTATATTTATATGCTTTTGTTGACAAAATGCTTCTGCAAGCTTAACAATTTTATATTCTTGTTAAATATGGGCATCTAAATTTAATTTTTTCATTGACTTCATTCATAAAAATAGGAAATTGCATATAAAATTTATTTGGCGAAATATTTATTTTCTTTTGCTTCTACTTCTTTTGCGATAGGATTTCTTTCCTTAAAAATTTAGATGTCAAAAATCTAAATATTCGAGTAAAGTTTATTTTCCAAAGATTAGCGATTTATGCTGTGATTCGCTGTTATCTTTAGCTCGAAGAACAAGAAAACCTTCTCTCTAGATTTTTATTTTTTATATTAATAATCGAAACTGATTCAGAAAAGCTTTTCATGAACGAAGAATTTGTGACTTTAAAAGTATTTATCTGATACATTTCATGAATGCTTTTATAATGTATTATTTCACAAAATCTGTTTTCCAACAAAGTCATTCTAGTACTTTTTATACGGATTTAGATATCACATAATGCATTGGTTCTCGTAATCTCACTTTCACCGATTTGACTTTAATGCAAAAACATTTATCAATGACGTTTTATCATGAATGTTGGGAGGCGAAAAGCCCTTTTCATCCGTACCCAGACCATTATCGCTTCGTCATCAGATTTCGAATAACTCCCGTTTCTAAATTCAAAAAAGCTTTTAATCTGATCGAAACAAAAGCAAAACAAGGAAAACTCTAATAGTTTAACAGAATGAAAGCTTTTACGTTGAGACGTTTTAAATTGATTTAACTTGAAATAAGACGTGAATATACATATTATATCCTTGCAAATGGCTTCACAAATGTATTTCGAATTTGATAGAGTTTATTACGCTCTAGTACGATAGAAACGGTTAATGATGTGTTTGTATATATATATATACACCTTACATACGCAAAATTCTAATTATGCTTTACAGAAAAAACTTTTTTATAGTGTTTTTCTTTAATGCAAGGAAACGAGTGAAACAATTTTTCAAACTGTCAAGCACAATTTTACTCTGATGCATAATCCGGGATATTATTTCATAAATTACATTCTTAAAAGCAAAAATATTTATTCAAAATTATTTCCCATAACACTGTCATTTCTAAATATCTAACCGAAGAATTGTTTAGGGAATATATTTACATTTGCTTCTGGCATTCACGAAAGAAAATAAGTTTTCGTTTTATATATGTCACTTAGAAATTTTAGAATTATAATTTTCTACATATTTTACATTAAAAAAAATTTACATTTTAAGTGCATTATGCTAATAAACGTTTAATACTTGGACTGCGAATAAATTGTATATATGTAATGTTTTCAGTTATTCCAACACATCGTGGGCGAATGATGAGGCTATTCCATTACACGTTCTGGCAGATGGTTGACGAAGCTGGAATGATTGAAGCACGGAGAAAAATGGCGACTCAGGACTTTTCACTTTTAACAGCAAGCATATCTTTATTTTAATTTAGAGCAGATGACTTTTTCTATATGGAGTTAATCAAATAACTTATTCAGTAATTGAACTATTAGATACGACTGACTTTAATACGTCATAACGTTCTAACAAAGAAAGAGGAGCATAGCGGAAGCGTTAGCAGGACGAAGGCGAGAAGGCATCTGTGTAGGAGAAATTATGACGCAGCATTTATATGAAGGGTTGTGTAACAAAGTAGCTTCTAGAAAAATGTAGAAAAACTTATGACGCAGCACTTATATGAGGAGGTTATGTAATAGGCGCGAATGTTCTAGAAGGTAATGGTCTAAGGGGAGATGCTGAATTGCAGAAAATTAATTAAAGGTTGCTGGTTTGCAAAGAGCAAAGCCATCGTATTTTTTTATATCTTACATCTTTACATATATATATATATATATATATATATGAACGCTCAAATAAGAAATTCATACTACGATTCTCCAAAAATTGAATTCAGATCTTTTATTGTTTTCAAAATCCGGATAATTTAACATTTTTCAAACGATAATTTCTGTCAATGTCGAAATCGATATGTATGAGCCAAGCAGCGATGTTTTTAAAAAGGTCTTTAAAAAAAACCTTTAGGAGTGTTCATCTTACTAATGGATTACCATGTTGGTAATAGTCATAATTATCCTTTGCAGGTGAAGAAGGTGTTCTATGGTTATTTATAGGTCTACATAATGGCAGAATACCAGCTTATGAGAGTAAAAGTTATGACTTAGATGGCTCATGGCTCTTGTACTTCTTAGCATAATACTGAACATGCCTTTATTAAACAGCCAAACTTACTGCTTTTGCAAATTTTTCTGTATTAATTATATTGTTTATTGTAGTGAATGAAGTGAAAAACAAATGCACTACGGGATACTTAATGGAAGATAAAGTAAAATATATTATTATTTTTACTATTATTGTTATTATTATTTTGACATTCATTGATATTAGTTTGAATAACGAAAGTGAAAAGTGTACTACATCTTAAAATAGTTCTATTTTATGTTCCTATTTTGTAAGGGCCTTGTGGAGAAAGACACGTGATTTAAAAGCTCTTCACAAAGACGCTTACTTTAAGCGTTTATTCATATATTTAGATACAAATATTTTATAAAGAATGGTATTGTTTTTTCTATATCTTTATTATGCAGAAAGTTTAGAAATTGTTTTAATTATTAATTTAAATTCCAAACATAGTCTAAAAGCGTTTCAAAAATGTTAATTTTATGATATATTTCATATATTACATAAAACTGTTTAAATTCTCTCTGCTCTTAAAAAGTAGTTTCTGGCATGATTTTTATATGAGAACTACTGTGTATTTTCTTCACATTTTCAAAATTTTTGTTCTCGTAATTGTTTAACTCAGTCGATTATCAATGACTCACCAAAGGTCGAGGCGATACGACCGTTGAACACTGGTAGTTCAAGCCAGGTCCAATCTCGGCACAAGCACTGGTTACATGACTGTTACTGAGGTTTTTGGCCATGTTTAACACAAATACATACCTTAAAAATTCCTTTTGAAAGCCCCCTTCTCTTTAAGAAGGTAGCCGTTGTAAGCTTTGCATTAAACAATTAAATAAATAAGCATATAATTCTTAAATGAGGTATGAATAATAACTATGATACCTATTTTTCTAAATTACATTAATTTTATTACATTGCTTAACAAATCTGAGCATGTGAATCTTTCCTCTGCTGAAACCTTTGGTGTATATTGTTATTATCTCTCTCTCTCTCTTTTGATCTAAGATAATTTGCTATGTTCTTAATTCTATATTTTTCTTCATTGCGTAATACCTAAGACTATTAATGAAGACTTTTAGTTTCAACAATTTCTTGCCTCTGCTTCAGGGTTTCTGAGTCAGCCGGTGTAATCAGTTTCGCTTGGCTAAGTACAGTGCGCGTGTTCCTTCTCCTATGTACTGCTTTAATTAGAACTTTAATCGCTTAATCATGCATACACACCTTTGAATCTTATATTCTAGCTCCTTTGGGCTACTGATTAAATTTTCTGCACATAGCATTCGTTTGGTGTGGCATTCTACTTAACGTTGTATGCTAAAAGTGATTGAAATTGTTTGTATTAAATCATATTTATCAGATATGAGATTATATTAATTGAATTAATTTTATTCTAAGTACAAATATTTTCATTGAATTTACTCTACATAACTATAGGTTTAAAGTCTTAACTGCGAAGTTTATAAATTATTTTAAAGATTTTTAATTAAAAGGAAACCGATTTTATTTACATATATTTTTTTCAGTTAAATTAAATGTAGATTTAATTAAAATTTGCACAACGGTAATAAGTTATTAAATCATTGCCATTACTGAAAATAAGTTCATTTTTTGAAGAGGGCCGTTTTTAAA